TTGAAAGATAACTGACATTACATGATCTAGTGTTTCAAACCATTAAAGCAGAATTACTCAGAATAATGATAAATTTATCAAAGATTAAAAGTTATTATAGGATACACAGATATACCCTAAAATATTGGGAAAATTTTCCAAGAGGATAAAGTTTAATGATACTCTAAATACTCAAAATGGAAAACTTGCTTAATCTTTTTGCTGAGCACTGAAAGAATGAATGGGATAATCACTGGGTGAGCAAAGGGGTGAAGAGAAGCAAGCCTAAGATAGAGGTAACCATACCAGGTGACAATGTGAACGTAGGTATAGGGCCAGGGACAAGTATATACTATAGAATGTGAGAAAATTATACTAGTCAAAAAAAATTTAAGATAAGTCGAGAAGTTATAAGTTAGAAGAGAAGTAGATAATGAAGGGATTTGAGTGCCTAGTTCCAAATAAGGAATTGGGATGATAGTCTCAAAATATTAAGTTGATGATGTTGTTTTGAGGTAAGATTTATCTGTGTATGTTTCTCTTTTATAAGACTTTTAAAAGTTCAGCTCTAGAACGTAGTATGAATAGGAACTTTGGGTTGAGTAGGGAAGCTAACTGACAATTCATTTAAAAAGTCACCCGATGTTGATGTATTTGTTTACACAGATTATTAGGAAAAGGGAAAGACTGGAGTCATGAAAATTCCTGTGCAGGGGAAGTGAGAACACTTCCATGTCTGTTGGTCAGTGATTCTGCTTACAGCTTTTTCTTATTTTTTTCTCACTTGGTCTAGCCATCCTTTCCACTTGCCAAGGGGAGTAAAAATGTGGTACATCATGCCAAAATTTATGAGCAAAGGTCTAACGTGATGATGCTATGACTCTTGGCTCTTAGTCAAACATGCGTGCAGCCTAAGTACACTAAGATTCCTTACAAGGTGTTGGAAACAGGCTGGCTGTGTTTTGATTTATTGTGAGAGCTGATAACTTTCTAAGGTAGCAGAATATGTGCTTGACTTATATTTGTTCCATCTATTGAGTAGGATGGAGTAACTCTAAGGTTAATTTAGGCACACAACTAAGAAGAAAAAACTTGGCATGGACAAAATCTGTTATATCTGAAGTATAAAACACTTCATCAAAAGTGAGTAAAGGACAAAACATCAGAAGTTAAGTATTACAGTCTGAGGGCTGGCCACTCCTTACTCTATTGGGTAGTAACAAAGTTCTCAATAAAAACAAGAGCAGTCCAGCCTAGTGAGAACCTGATATCCAGAGTCAAAACTTGACCTGCAGAGTAACAGAGATGTGTCTGCTGCAAGAGAATTGGATTAGATGAACTGGACTAGATAAGTCTTCTTCAGACTTTATTTAAGTCAGCCAAAATCTCTGGGCTTCAATTTTGCTACAAATGTAGGAATAGCTATCTGATAATCAAGAAGTTCATAGAAATTACATCAAATTCTTGGGAAGTACAAAGTACTATGCGCATGTCTAGAAATAGTATTACTAGCTGCTGAGGTAAGAGAGTGGTTCACACAACCTGGTATCTAAGGAGGGGCTTTTACATATTTTCAAAGGCCTAATGGAATCCTTTTGTGTAGCTATATCAAAATGGTACAAGTTGATTTTGACTGGAGTAGTATAAATTTAGTATGACGACTTTGGGAAGCCCATGCTGTTCAGAGGTCCTGATTGATATAAAAGTCTTTTTTTAATGAGAAATGAAATGTGAATAATTGAATTAAATTAGTAAATGCAATTTTCCAATTAGGTAAAATATTTCATTTATTTATTTATTTATTTATTTATTTATTTATTTATTTATTTTTGGTACGTGCCCCTAGCGGGAACTGAACCCAGGACTCACTTGTCCACAGGCCGACGCTCCAACTGCTGAACCAAACCAGCCAGGGCTAGGTAAAATATTTTAAAAACGCAAAATATGTATGGAATAAAAAAAGAAAGTAATTGAGGTACACAATCTTTTATCTAAAAGTTGGAGACAGACATGTTTTTTTTTTTTTTTAACTTTTGTATGTTTTTAAAAAAATGATCTTTATGAGGGTCAATAGGTGAAAAAAGGGGGAACATCTATAAATCAGCCAACAATAAAGATTTAAAAAGAAGATATAAACTGTAAAAAAAATTTATCTTTTTTGTTGAATGTATAACAGATCTCCCTCCTTTTTCCCCCATTGACATCCTCCTCCCTGCTCCCACCCCTCCCTGCCTTCACCACACGGTTGTCTGTGCTATGCATATATGCATACAAGTTCTTTGGTTTATCTCTTTCTGTCCCCCTCTGAGGTTTGTCAGTCTGTTCCCTGCTTCCATGTCTCTGGATATATTTTGTTTGTCAGCATATTTTGTTCATTTACATTCCACATATAAGTGAGATCATGTGATACTTGTCGTTCTCTGACTAGCTTTTTTCACTTAGCATAATACTCTCCATGTCATCTTAAAGCATGTTTTTGAATTCAGAAAACATTTGGATTTTAGATATGTACTAAAATGCCTAACTCATATATTAATTAATTAAGGGGTGTTGGTCAAGACCCCACTGAAGAGACACACAGGGAAGCAGCTAAAATAAGGAGATGGAGAAACATGTCCCAAATGAAAGAAAAGAACAAAACTCTAGCAAAAGACCTAAACAAAATAGAGATAAGCACTCTAACAGATGCAGAATTCAGAACACAGGTTATAAGGTTGCTCAGGGAACTTGGTGAGACATATAAGGGACTTAGTGAGACCTTCAAGGAACTTAAGGAGACCTCTGAGAAACTTAGTGAGAACATCAACAACATAAAAAAGGGCCAGTCAGAAATGAAGGATGAACTAACTCAAATAAAGAGTAATTTACAGGGAATCAATAGTAGAGTAGGTAAAGCCAAAAAAGCAAACCATTGATTTGGAATATAAGGAAGCAGAAAACACCCAACTAGAACAGCAAAAAGAAAAAAGAATCCAAAAAAAATGAGGATAGTGTAAGGAGCCTCTGGGACAACTTTAAGCATGCCAACATTCACATCTTGGGGGTGCCAGAAGGAGAAGAGCGAGAACAAAAAATTGAAAATCTGTTTGAAATAATAAGGGCAGAAAACTTCCCTAACTTGGTGAAGGAAACAGACACACAAGTCCAGCAAGCACAGAGAATCCCAAACAAGTTGAATCCAAAGAGGTCCACACCAAGACACATCATCATCAAAATGCCAAAGGTTAAATACAAAGAGATAATCTTAAAAGCAGTGAGAGAAAAGCAGTTCGTTACCTTCAAAGGAGCTGCCATAAGACTGTCAGCTGATTTCTCAAAAGAAACTTTGCAGATCAGAAAGGAGTAGCAAGAGATATTCAAGGTGATGAAAAGCAGTGACCTACAACCAAGATTACTCTGTCCTGCAAAGTTATTATTTAGAATTGATGGCCATATCAAGAGTTTCCCAGACAAGAAAAAGCTAAAGGAATTCATCACCACCAAACCAGTATTGTATGAAATGTTGAAGGGTCTTCTTGAAGGCAAAGAAGAACAAAAATATGAACAATAAAATGGCAATTAATACATATCTATCAACAATTGAATCCACAAACAAAATGAGCAAGCAGAACAGAAACAGACTCATAGATACAGAAAACTTTTTGTTGCTTGCCAGATTGGTGAGGGCTGGGAGGGTGGGTGAAAAAGATGAAGGAATTAAAAAGTACAAATTGGTTGTTAAACTGATGAACCTTAAAGGGAAAGGGGGAGAGAGAGTAGGATGAGATAAACCAAAGAACTTCTATGCATATATGCACAACCAATGGACACCAACAATAGTGTGGGGAAGGCAGGAGGGGGCGGGAATGGGGAAGAGGGGGTCAATGGGGGAAAAAAGGGAGAAACATCTGTAATACATTCAACAATAAAGATGAATTTTAAAAAAAACACATTAATAGTATTACAATTAAATATGTGAATAGTTACACTGACTATTCAATGAGATTCTGAAACATCAAGAGGCCTTATGATAGTTCAGATTGGGTTTGTTAACAAATTAGTTTAATGTGAAGTTACAAGAACCTTACAAACCAGTTTTGGATTTCTGAATTTTGGCTAAAGGGTGCTCAATGCACCTGAACGAGTAACCAATTCTTGAGGAATTACCATGTGCCACCTCAGAGATGGCGCCATTGGCATCAATCTTCATAGACATCCTGTTAAAGTAGACATTGTCATTCATTATCTATAATTTGCGAATTAGGAAAGGGACACCAAGGCTCAGCCTGCTCAGTGGGTAGCCAGAGGCCACACTCATAAGTATGTGGCAGACCTGGAATTTGAACTCAGCTCCTTCTGGCTCCAAAGACAAAGGACAATATTGTTTTCTCACTGCTTGGTCAAGACCGCTGGTTATTGTGATTATCTGACCCTGTTGCCTGCATAAAAAAAAAAAAAAAAAAAAAAAATTAACAAATTAAAAAAATGCCAGTCCAGGGTGAGTAGCTCAGTTGGTTAGAGTGTCATTGCAATATTCCAAGGTTGCAGGTTTGATCCCCTGTCAGGGCATATACAAGAATCAATTAGTGAATGCATAAATAGGAGAACAATGGATCATTGTTTATCTCTCTCTTTCTCTCTCTCTCTGTCACTTTCTCTCTCCACCCCTCCCTCCCTCCCTTCTCTCCTTCTAAAATAAGTAAATAAATAAAATTTTAAAATGCTTTAAAAACTTAATTAAGATTTCTCTCCTCACTCTGTACAGTCTTTCTGAGAAAATTCATCCAATGACACTTTACAAACAAATGACATCCAGCTGGATCAATACCCCACTCCTGAGTATCACACTTAGACATTGGATTCACTGTTGGCCACCTCCATGTAATTATCTCACTTCCCAGTGAGCTCCAAATAGAACTAAGCATTTTTCTCCTCAACATTTGCCTTTTGGATGTCCCTATTCTACCATCTCAGTTACCCCTAAGCCGAGCTCCTCCCACCTCCTTCCCTCTCCAATTCTGTTAATTACTAAGTCCTGTGAAATGCAGCCAAAGAGCAGCACAGAGGAAGCTGCGGGCTCTCCAAGTGCAGTAAGTAATTTAATTTACCAATCACAGACCTTGTCATCGTTCCCAGACAGTATGTATAAAATGGAGGTTCTGACCAACTATGGACAGCCACAGCAGCCTGAAATCCCATCTACCTGCTCAATGACAAATTCCCAAATGGTAAACCTTATAATTTTACTTTGTATTTTTAGATTGATTTATGTGTTATAAAATCTATTTTCTGTGATCTCAAAATTACTTGTATATTCTCTATTCAGGTGGGCGTGTAGTGATAATACGTAACTAAGTAGATAACATGCTTTCTCATAACAACAACCTTTGCTCCAAAATTGTGCTGGAATGTTCATGAGGTAAAGTAACAATTGACTATTTTTGTTATTCCCATCTTTAGGTAAAAGGCCGAGCCTGAAGGTCCACATCAATACCACAAGTGACTCGATCCTCTTAAAGTTTCTGCGTCCAAATCCTAATGTAAAACTGGAAGGTTTTCTCCTGGGATATGGCAGCAACTTATCACCAAATCAGTACTTCCCTCTTCCCTCGGAAGGGAAATTCACTGAGGCTGTAGTCGGTAAGATGCTTGGAGTTCAGGCCTGGGAAGGAGAGGTAAAGGTAATGGGTGTTACATGATCCATAAATCTTGAAGGCAAGCACCATTTCTTCTACATCCTTAGCTGACTCAAATGCCAGAGTTACAAATCGTCTTCATAATTATTATCCATAGTGCAATTTCTTACATCAAAAAATATGCAATGTGGCGCCTCCTCCCCATCTTCCCAGGTGTGTTGCCTTTACTTTCCTCACTTCTAAGCTCCAAGGGCCCTTCCTTTGCCTCTATAAATTGTTTCCTAAGCCCATTTCTTCTACAAACTACTTCTACCTCTGTGATTTTCTAATAAGTGTTTTCTTATAGTTTGAAAAATTATATATATATATAATGCATATTCTGCATGTACTCCTGAAATAATCAACTTCATTGCCATTACACCTACAATCCCTGAGCACATAATTAAATTGCATAGGGGAAAAAATAAGCTGAAATGCCTGGTTTAAATCTTTGTAATATAGTCATATGGATTAATTTCCCCCACCCCCCGTGTCTACTTTCTTCTGGTGGAAAAATAACAACTATAGCTTTCTGGGAGTCTTTTCATGAGAAGCTACCTTTTTAAAAAATGTATTATAATTTGAAAATTTTATAGTATTTCAAATAAAAAGATTAGAGTTTTTTATGTATTATAAAGTTTAACATTTCTTTGAAAATGTTTATAATCACATCAAGATGTAATTTGGAGAATTACATTTTGGGCACCTTCAAGTCTTTTTCAGAAAAGTTATTTGCAAATAAGACCTTTTTAGAAAGTAAGTTTTTAAAAGCAAGATCATCTATTATGAATGCTTTCAAAGACTTCTCAACAGTCTGATTCATGTTTTGTTCCACTGCTAAGATTATTGTTAACGAGCCTTTCCATGAACTTTCGATATTTAACCCTGTAACTTTAACAACTATAGATCAGCTCTGGTAATTATTCATATATGCCCAGAATGTGAAGATGAATCTGTTTTGTCCTGCACCCGTTGCTTCTCATAGAGAAGTCTCAGGTATACTTTAGAATCTGGCAGGAGAGCATCATTGTTCATAACTATCTAGACTAGAGTTTACATAAGATAATCACTTTAAAGCAAACAAATTACAATTACCCAAAAATTAAGAACTAGAAACTTTGGACAAATGTAATGACACTAACCTTCACCATATGAACAATAAGAAATTTGTAGTTTCTCAAGTGTTCCACCACTGCATTCATTCCTCGCTATAAAAAGTGACTAGACACTGTATACTTAACTCCACAAAAACAGAAGCATATCTCCTGCTCCTTTATTTAATGAGCATTAGAAGTAACAATTTATGCCCTGGCCGGTTTGGCTCAGCGGTTAGAGCGTCCGCCTGCGGTCCTGAGAGACCCAGGTTCGGTTCCCGCTAAGGGCACGTACCTCGGTTGCAGTTTGTCCCCAGCCCTGGTGGGTCGTGCGGGTGGCAGCCGGTCAGTGTGTTCCTTTCACATCGATGTTTCTCTCTCTCTCTCTGTTCCTCTCTCTCTCCCACTCTACCTGAACGAAAAATGGAAAAATGTCCTCTTCTCGGGTGAGGATAAAAAAACAAAACAAAACAAAAAAAAACATTAAAAAGAAGTAACAATTTATTTGTGGTGGTTTACTAGTTCAATGATGAGGGATAATCAAATGGATTATGTACCCTTTTATTTCTTTACTATTGCTTTCATCCTTTAAAAAATTTAATTATGGGACTTCCGGTCAAGATGGCGGCATAGGTAAATGCGGTATCGCGTCCTCCCACAACCACATCAAAGTTACAACTACACTACAGAACAACCATCATTCAAAACCGCCTGAGATCAAGCTGATGGAAGTCCTACAACTACGGAATTAAAGCAGCAGCCACATCCAGACTGGTAGGAGGGGCGGAGGGACGAGGGGCAGCGGCAAGATGGGCTGGTCCCACACCCACGTGTGGCGGATAAACATCAGGAGGACACCTTGGCTGGGAAGATCCTCCCTGAGGACTGAGGTGTCACCGTCCCACACCAGGTGCCCCGCTCATGATTTCAGTGCCAGGAAGAGAAGTCCCCATAACTTCTGGCTGGAAAACCCAGCAGGAACTGAGGCTCAGGGAAGTTGAAGCGGCTGGAGCCCCAGGCAGCTCCTTAAAGGGCCCGCGCACAAACTTATCGGACTCTCTCCCTCTAAGCTCGGAGGGGAAGCAGCTTGAGGGGCACCAGAGACATACAGGGAAGAACTGAGCTGTTTGGCACTGGAGCAAGGGCTGGAGAGGGGGCTTTCTCGGGGACAAACGTGCTGTCAGAGGCCTTTGTTCCTTTGGTGAGCCCTTCCCTGAGGTGGCACACAGCCGCCATATCTGGGACTCCAGCAACCTGGCTCACACTGGTAGCCCCGCCCTGGTGACTCCCTGAGGCCTCGCCCCACCCAACTTTCAGGCCCACCCAAGCTGTTTCCACTTGCTTAACCACAGGATTGGCCTGTCTTGGATCCTGCTTCAGGTTTTTCCTAAATTCTTTTAAACGAGCAGCATCTGGTCTCAGCTAGCCCCATACCTCTCATTAAGTAATACACAGAAACAAACACACAGAGGCAGCCAAAATGAGGAGACAAAGAAACAGGTCTCAAATGAAAGAACAGAACAAAACCCCAAGAAAATAAGTAAAATGGAGATAAGCAACCTAACAGATGCTGAGTTCAAAATACTGCTTATAAGGATGCTCAATGAACTCAGTGAGAACCTCAGTGAACTTAGTGAGGGCCTCAAGAGCATAAAAAAGGGTCAGTCAGAATTCAAGGAGGCATTAACTGAAATAAAGAATAATTTACACAGATTCAATAGTAGAGTACGTAAATCCAAGAAGCAAACCACCGATTTGGAATATAAGGAAGCAAAAAACACCCAATCGGAACAGCAAAAAGAAAAAAGAATACAAAAAATGAGGATAGTGTAAGGAGCCTCTGGGACAACTTCAAGCGTGTCAACATTCCCATCTTGGGGGTGCCGGAAGGAGAAGAGAGAGAACAAGAAATCTAAAACCTGTTTGAAACAATAATGGCAGAAAACTTTCCTAATTTGGTGAAGGAAACAGACATACAATTCCAGGAAGCACAGACAGTCCCAAACAAGATGAACCCCAAGAGGCCCACACCAAGACACATCATCATCAAAATGCAAAAGGTTCAAGACAAAGAGAGAATCTTAAAAGCAGCAAGAGAAAGGCAGCTAGTTACCTACAAGGGAGTTCCCATAAGGCTGTCAGTTGATTTCTCAAAAGAAACTTTGCAGGCCAGAAGGGAGTGGCAAGAAATATTCAGAGTGATGAAAAGCAAGAACCTACAACCAAGATTACTGTATCCTGCAAAGCTGTCATTTAGAATCGATGGCCATATAAAGAGTTTCCCAGACAAGAAAAAGTTAAAGGAGTTTATCACCACCAAACCGTTATTATATGAAATGATGAAGGGTCTTTTTGAAGAAACAGATAAAATATATGAACAAACAAAATGGCAATGAATACATATCTATCAACAATGGAATCTACAAACAAAATGAACAGGTAGAACAGAAACAATCTCATAGATACAGAGAACATTTTGTTGGTTGACAGATGAGAGGGGGTTTGGGGGAATGGGTGAAAAAGGTGAAGTGAATAAGAAGTACAAATTGGTTGCTAGACTGACAAACCTCAAAGGAAAGGGGTTGGGGGGTGGGAAGAAATAAACCAAAGAACTTATATGCATAACCAATGGACACAGACAATAGTATGGGAAAAGGCAGGAGGGCGGCGGGAGTGGGGAGGAGGAGGTCAATGGGGGAAAAGTGAGGAACATCTGTAATACATTCTACATTCAACAATAAAGATTAAAAATAAAAAATTTATTTATGGAAAGTTCAAACCTAAGGGGAGAGAATATGATAATGACCCTCTTGTTTCATCATGCAACTTGAATACATATCACTTTTTTGCTAATCTGGTTCCATATATATATTTTTAATTTTATTATTATTATTTTTAATTTATTTATTTTTTATTGTTGAAAGTATTACAGATGTCTCTCTTTTTCCCCCCTCCTCCCTGCTCCCACCCCCTCCTAATTTCCCCAACCTAATGTCTGTTTCCATTGGTTGTGCATATATGCAGATAGGTTCTTTGGTTTATCTCTTCCCACCCTTCCCACTCTCCATTCCTCTGAGGTTTGTCAGTCTGTTCCTGGCTTCCATGACTCTGGATCTATTTTGATTGACAGCTTATTGTGTTCATGATGTTCTGTAAACAAGTGAGATCATGTGATATTTGTCTTTCTGACTGACTTATTTTGCTCGACCTAATACTTTCCAGGTCCCTCCATGTCATCTCAAATGATAAGAGATCTTTCTTTCTTACAGCTGCATAGTATTCCATGGTGTATATGTACCACAGCTTTTTATGCACTCATCTATTGAAGGACACTTGGGCTGTTTCCAGATCTTAGCTATTGGAAATAGTGCTGCTATGATCATGGGGGTACATATATTCTTCCTGATTGGTGTTTCAGGCTTCTTATTATATACTCCTAGAAGTGGGATCACTGGGTCAAAGGCAGTTCAATTTTAGTTTTTTGAGGAAACACCATATTGTTTTCCATAGTGGCTCCACCAGCCTGCATTCCCTTGGTGTTTGAGGATTTGTTGAAGACCGCCATTCTGGCAGGTGTGAGGTGATATTTCACAGTCATTTTAATTTGCATCTCTCTGATGATTAAAGAGCATTTTTCCATATGTCTCCTGGCCATTTGTATGTCCTGTTTGGAGAAATGTCTATTCCGTTCCTCTACCCATTTTTTTTTTTTAATCCTCACCCAAGGACATTTTTCCATTTTTTGTTCAGATAGAGTTGGGAGGAAGACAGAGAAAGAAACATTGATATGAAAGGGACACACCGAGTGGTTGCCACCCACACAACCCAACCAGGTCCGGGGACAAACTGCAACCGAGGTAAGTGCCCTTAG